AAAAAGAAAGTAATTGTTTTTAAAAGCAGTTTTGTATGTCTTCTAAAATCAAAGGCTGAGAACAAATGTGTGCAGGGTTAATGCTGATGCAAATCATTCCATGTTCTGATTCTGCTGCTCTGAAGGCTGGAAGCTCCTGTGCAGCTGAGAGCACAGCTATCAAAGCTGTTGTGCATCCCAATCCATGGGTTGGGCCTGAGGAAGTTCTGCTGGAATCCTCTTTGTACTCTGGCTTTCAAATGTGATTAACATCTGTTTTCTTAAATTAGGACATTGGAGAGAGGCTTTATGCCTCTGAATACTTTTGAATGCTGCATGACAGTCATGTGTTCTAGGTATTTGGCAATATGAGGGCTTGGTGATTCTGCCTGACTGCTTAGAGCTGCTGTCAAAGCTTTATTCACGTACTATCTGAATTAGGTAATGTGTCACCCTCCTGCTGCTGTAATTTAGATCTTCGCATAGGAGTACCTCTGCCAACAGGACACTTTCTTCAGTGTTAGGACAGAGGCTGCCTTCTGCAATGAACTTTATACTACAAACAAGAGCTATTAGTTCACTTGCAACGTCCTCAGCACCTCTGATGGTCACCTTGTTCTGTAGCTTACAGATTCCCATTCTGGGAATGTTGGTTGTTGTTTTTTTTTTTCTTTTTTTTTTTTTTTTCTTAGTTGTTGTCTTGTTGTTGTGGTTGTTTTTGGCCGCTAATGTCCTGAATCAGTTGAGACACTCACCTGGCATTCAAGCTGCCGATAAATGTATGTGTTTGCTGACATGCACAGAGCTGGGCCAAGGTCAGCGTCCCCGGGCTCAGCCTTGTGGACTCAGACGCGTTTGCACCTGCTATCCAGGACAGCTCGGTTCCCGGCGTAGTGCAAGTTCCACCCGCCCCTTTTTCCGTGGCCACGATGTTTACCATCACTCTTGAAAACGCTTTCCCTCTGTTCACAACGGGCCGACCAATTGACCAACAGGTTAAAAATTAAGGGTAGGGAGGAAGGAGAAGCACACACCCGCGCCCACACACAAAGGCTGCGAACGCTCCGCCGCTGTGCTCGGATGGGTCGTTTCACAGGCAGGCAGCAGCGGGCACCCAGCAGCGGGACAACGCGGCCGCCCGTCACCCCGAGCTCTCCCCAGACACACAGCCCAGCGCCTCCGCCCAGCAACACCACGCGGCCCGCCCTGCTCCGCGCTAGGGAAGCCCCCGACGGGACGTCAGCGCGGCCGTCCCGAGGAGAGCCTGCTCAAAACCACGGCGGGGCCGGCGCTCTGCTCATAGCTGGTGGTCGCCGAGCCCGGTATCGCCCGCGTCTCGTCGCGGCTCTGCTCCACGCCTCCGTGCCTGTGGCCAGCGGGCCGAGAGACCGCGCCGCGACGGGTCTTGCCATCAGGCAGGCTGACGGGCACCTCAGCGCCGTGCCGTGGGGCCCTGGAGCCGGGGAGGGGGGGAGGGAAGCGGCTCTCCGTGGGGACGCCTGGCTCGGCGGCTGTGGCGAGATGAGCGGCAAGGAAGGTGACGGTGCGCCGCCTGCCGCTGCCTCCCGTGGGCCGGCGGGGAACGGGGCGGCGGGAGAGGCGTGAGGAGGGAGGACGGGGGGAGAAGACCGGCTCGGCTCGGCTGTGTGGTGCCCCAGCTGTTCCCTCGGCCGGGCCCGTGCTAGCTCTTGCAGTTCCCATCCCTGCTGTTAAAAAACATGCAGCAAAAGCTGAATGTGTTATTGGGCCTGTTAGGAAGCGTCTGTCAGATGTCGCCGTCAGCCTGCGTGCTGCTCAGACAGAGCTCCCTCCGACCAGAAAGCAGACGGCGTGGCTTTCCTTTGCTTTTCTCATCTATTTTCCTGTGGTTTTCTGAAATGCACATTGCTGTTTATGCAGTGGACCCCTCATCTCTATTTCTCTCCAATTTTCTGCCCCTGCTTCAGGAGGACCTGTTTTATTTATTCATTTATTTATTTTCCTGTGAGTTGTTTTGATGTCCCTAACGCTTGGCGCAAGGCAGAGAGCTGAATGCTCTGCGCTGCTTCAAGGCTTCTGTTTGTAACGTGCTCAGTGCTACAGGAAAAACAAAGCCCTGAACCCACGGCCTAACAGAAAAGAAGGGAAAAATGATTTTCAGTTTCCTCTTTTAGAAAGTAACAACGCCCACTTCTGGTTTGAGTTTGGGATAATAAACAAACGGAAACATTTTAAAATCCAGTGTTCTTCTGTAACTTCTAAGTAGCTTCCTTTTGTTTGTCTTTTAAGGAAATTAAGAGAACTACGTATGTTCAGAAAGGTATGCTAGTATGCAAATGTGCCAAATACTGGCCTCTGCTTGGAACACAAAGCTTGCAGCTGTCACAAGGAGGAGATAACAAAGAGATATGGTTACGATGTGAATGATCCTCTCCTAGGTGAAGAAGTGACTGAAGGAAGAAACAGGACCAAGTGCAAGTTGACAGTAAAAGGCAATCCAGAAGAGAGGGGTTTTGAATAAGGGTTTGAAAAGGGACACTAAAACAGGAGCAAGTAAGGGCAGTTGAAGGAGACAGCTTTTGCAGGGTAAAAAGAAGCCTTTAAATGAGCACAGTATAAGGACCTAAGGTGATGCACCACAGGAGGTAAATCTGGATAGTGGCAGTCTGCCTAATTTATGCCTTGAGTACTTTTTTTATTACCGAAGACCAATGACATAAATTATGGTCACTTAGGAGAAGAAGGCTTAGGGGAGACCTTATTATTGTCTTCAAATACCTGTAATGTGATTGCACTGAGAGCAGGGTTGGTTTCTTCTCACTGGTGACAGGATGAGGGGAGATGGCCTCAAGGTGCACCAGGGGAGGTTTAGGTTGGATATCAGGAAAAACTTCTTTACTGAAAGAGTTGTTAAGCACTGGAATAGGCTCCTCAGGGAGGTGGTTGAGTCACCATCCCTGGATGTGTTAACTGTTTAGATGTGCTCAGGGACATGATTTAGCAGAGGGTTGTTAGGGTAGTATGATTAGGTTGCGGTTGGACTTGGTGATCTTTTAAGTCTTTTCCAACCTGAGCATTCTATGATTTGGTAATTATTGTTAAGTATTGTACAATTATCTACTGTTGGTAGGAGTTTAAATATTTTCTGTTAAGTAGAATATTAAAAAAAAAAAAAATGTCTAATGCTGTAGGCCCTTTTTAACACAATAATTTCCGTGCAGCTATTCCTTTACGGAAAGGAAACATAAAAGAATACGAACACCTTATGACAAAAGTACTTGGGAACCTACTCTGGTAATCCATTAGAATTGGTAAAAATTGTCCCAGTATTCACTAGGAATGTGGTGCAACAAATAGTGTGGTATTGTGGAGATAACAGGAGCTGCTAATAGAAGTTACCTCATTCTATCATGCAAAATATCAATACAGCCATGAACCCTCTGAAGACAGCATTGTGACATTACGTATGTTCTGGCAAAACTAGTTTATTTTAAAATATTTTTATTTGTGTATGTTTGTTTTTGGTTAATAGGATCAGGTGGCTTCAGAAAACGAAAGCACGATAATTTTCCACATGGTCAAAGAAGAGAGGAAAAAGAGAATGTTAATCCTTCTTCTCCTTTGATGACATCTTTTAAATGTAAGTAAGAATTTGGAAAGCCAGATTATGAAAAGTATGCATTGTGGAATTTGCTAGAAATTATGTATTTAGTGATGGAATAAGCCAACTTTCTCAGGGGGAGAGATTTGAAACTAGTGAAACTCGTGCTTTCTACATTTAGAAGATGCCGTTTTGCTGTTTATACAATCAAGGCCTGAGAGAAGGGTTTGGCATGGCTGCACCTGGCGTGTGACCTGCTCCCTTTTTCATCTTGCCTCCTGTTCCCCTTTCCCACCTTGCTGAACCTGATGCTAAGTAAACTGCAGCGTTCCAGCAGGCACAGGGTGATCTGGTCCTTTGGTAGCAGGGAAATGCATGACCTGCACAGATGCAAAATCTTGTCCGTTGTGACAAAAGGACATGGCTGCCTTTGGGGAGGCTGAAAAGGTTCCTAACTGCTGACCATAGTTCTGGTGGTGCATGGGTGACCAAGTTTCTTAAATGGAAATCTGGATGCATGGGTTTATGAATTGGTAGCTGCTTATACGTGTGCTTTCTAAGAATCTGAGTTTAACAAACTGCAGTAGGCCTTTATGGAGACACTTACTTTGTTTTGATTGCCTTTTTTAAGAACAGCTTACATTTCAGTTGTTGTTTTTTTCCCCCAAATAAGCAGGTGTAAACTGCCCTCAAGCAAAACTGTTTTCAGAGTATTTATGTCAGACTCAAATGTTAGTCAATTCAGTTTAACTCTCTCAAACTCTCCCATTAGGTAAGCCCTGACAAGCAAAAGGTGGTCTTCAGAAATGAGGAACATTAACAGATGAAGGAAGGGAATGTGATACAGGGCACAGATCAGATCTCAGTGTAAAATTCTCCATGCTTCCCATATTATTATTATTTTTTTCCTATGGAAGATGAAGAAATAAAAGCTGGATGACTGTTAGAGATGATGCCTTCAGCACCATACAATTTCCTTGATGTTTTTAAACATATGTTAAAACAGCTGTATGAGTCACCTTGGCAGATGATTAACTCTGACCCTGGCACTTTTATCTTGATTAATGTACATACACTTGTACTCTAAATTGAGTAGTGCAATTGTACTTTCAAGTTTAATTTTTCACTCTCAAATGTATCAGTTTTTTTCTTGAGGATGCTGTTAATTTGAATTCAGAACATCCCTTTTTTCCCTCCTTTCTCATAAGATCCAATCAGGAGCGTTTGATAAATTTCAGAACAGGGTAAGGGATGCAGTTCATCCTGGCTTTTCATGGTTGTAGTGTTTGTGTTCCACAGAGTTATGAAATATTTCTTTTTGATAATTCACTGGTGGACTCAACTCTCATAATTTGGAGACAGACCAGTCATGCATATGAAAGACTTGGAGCACAGTAGGAGCATTTGTGCTCATGTTTCAGAAGAACAACAACAAAAAAAGAAACCATATTTTTTCTCGAGGCAATGGGAAATGCAGATTTTTAGCTTCACCTAAACTTTGTAAACTGCTACACTTTTCTGAGAGATATTCACTTGTTATATCCTCTGTTTAAAAAAAAAAATAATAAAAATAATTGCCTTCGCTATCTTCTTGCATGGACCCTTTAATGCCTCAGGTAGTTATTCAGGAAATGTACTTAAACACTTTTAAATATCTATCAATAGTTTATTTAGTGGATTAATGACGTATTAAATGTTAATGTTGTATGTGAAACATTTCTTCACAGTTTTCATTAAGAAAACTATATATGCATCCCCTCTTTATCTTCTTTCTCATTAGGCAGAGAAAATTTCTGTCAGTAAGTCAGAAATCTTATTTTAAATCTTTAAATAAATATAAATTGGCCTCACTTTGCTATTTTTAGTTCTTAGAGATATTAAAATACTTTTGCTCAGTTCTAGTTGTGATGTAAAATAGAACGTTTCTTTTTACTATTCTGTGCATTTTTAAGTGTATGGTCTGGGCTGCTTAAAACAATATCAGGGTTGATGTGTATTTAAGCCTGACTCACTAAACAAAAATCATATTAATGATGAATTTTGCTGCTCAAGACTGAAGTTTCGTAGATATATAGCTGTCTAAATATACAGGTTGATCCCTCTAGGAGGTTTTCAGAAATCTGTGCAGATTTTGAGGAGCCAAAAATGAGACCTGGGTTCCTGCATTCTTGTGAGTCCTTGCTTGGTGTGTACTTGCACCATAAGGCCTGCTGTATTTTGTTCAGAAGTAATTCTGTGCCTTTGCTCAGCGTTGAGCTGCAGGGTTGCACAGTAGCTGTGGCAGGCAGGGGGCAATGGTGGTCTCCACAGCTGCGTCCTGTGCAGGAGCACTGCCCACACTGGGGAAAGGCTGATGGGGGGCTGAGGCCCACAGCTGTTACTGTGGTGCAGGATCTCAGCTTTTCCCTTACGCTGTATACGGTGTTAACCATGCTTGTTTCTGTAAACACTGCCTCTGCAGCATTTCAGCTGGAACTTGACACCAGGCATGATAAGTATGAACGGCTTGTGAAGCTCAGTCGTGATATAACAATTGAAAGCAAAAGAACGATATTTCTACTCCACAGATATATCAGGTGAGTCACACTGAGAGTTAAAGTGTTTGTGGAAACCTAGAAGCTGTCTTTCAGCGTTTGTGATTAATAGCTGAGATGTTTTGTTGAGAAAGATTAATTTCTCATAAGCATTCTTTAGCTACTGATTGCACGCACCAGTTGGAGAATTAATAGATGCTGGCTCAGGTTTTTTAGTTGGTTTTATTGGAATGTTAAACAAGATCAAAGTAGTAGAGTGTAACAGCAGATGAGAGCTTTTCAGCTTCCAGCAAGCTGGGAGAGAAGAGCATGCAACCTTCCTTCACATTAGTCGTCTCTGCTGTTACTTCCCTTTTTGGGTTCTTGTAACCTCACCCTTGGTCATCAGTGCAAGAAGTAGGCAGCCTGGGTTGTTCACTTCACTGCATTCTTCAATCTAAGAGACTTGTGTGTGAAGTTTTGAATTTCTGTATGTTTTGTGTCTTCCAAAGCCTTTAAGCAATCACTGGAAGCCACAAACGAAGCAGGAAAAGAATGGGAAAACTTAGAGCTTTGTGTATCCAGCTGAATAAAATATTTACACATCCTACATGTAACTGCTATAAACAGCTCTCCCTGTTCCTTCTCCCAGATTTATTTTTTTTCTTTCTTACCTGTGCACATCTGTTGTGGTATTATCTACTTATAGTTACCATAGTAGTAACATTTATAAACAGGGATTAGGAAATTGCCCTCTTTTTAACTTGGTCTTCTGTGAGGAGTTACTGCGATAATTCTAGTAACTGCCTCAACCTTGACTGTGAATAGCTGTTCCCACTGCAGGGGCTAGATGTGCTGGGAACTGGAAGAGGAAAGAACAATAATGAGACACTCATTTATTCTGGATTTAGATTCCTGTTTTTAAGATATGTGTGTTATTGTGAGAGTGGAAGCTTTCTGTGCTATATTTTGATTTCCCAGTCCTTTGGTTTTAGCCATTATTATGGCTTTACTTTCTGAAATCTGTTTGCTTTTAAATGTTTTCTTCAGACCAGTCTATCTGTAGTCCCCACATAGCCAATAAACCTAATAGTGTACCACGTTGATGGTTTGAGGAGGAGTGGTTCTAAAGTTAAACTAAACTTACATGCCAAGTATATATTGTTTGTAAATAAGGTATTTCAGCTCTTCTTTCATAACACAGTTCATAATTACTTTCTAAAAAAGTATATACTTCACGTGTGTTCTGTAACATATTGCAGAATAGTGATATATTTTTTTTAATGAACTTCTGCAAATACTGCTTGTTTCTCAGAATACTCTAATGAAGCATTTGCATGTATTTCTCATTGTTCTTACTCAAGCAGTTGTTTCAAATTATTAATTAATTGTTAAAATTATTACCTGGAATAAATATCGTGCTACCAGAACGTTTGACTAGCTGATTCTGCATAATCTCTCTTTCAGAGTCTATAATAAGTGTCAATGAAAGTTAAACCATTTCTGATTCCAATATCTGCTTTATTTTCTTCCTTGAAGTCTATGAATGTGTATTAGTAATAGAAAACCTGTAACATTTTTCTTTAAGTGTCTGCTTGTATTCTGAAAGCTGCTGTTTCATTTCAGTGCTCCCAATGGTGAAGAAGTACTAAATGAATCTGAAATCAAGTTAGATGCTGTCAGACGGAAGATTAAGCAGGTTGCACAAGAGCTGATAGGTGAAGACATGTATCAATTTCACAGAGCTATATCTCCAGGTAAATTATTTTAAGATACAGAACGTGTGCTGTTCTGCACTAAACTCGATTTCTTGCCTAACAGTGGTTCCTCTTCATGGAATAGGTTTGAATATAGCTCATTTCTGTGGTTATAAAGCAGGACTCAGATTTATCTTTGTGGTTAGCGGAATTAGTTCTGATACTGGAGAGTATCATACAGTCTTGTTAGCATTGCTGTTAAACAAGGATTTGCTGAAACTGGAAAACTTTGTACCCTGACCTACACTAAAGTTGAGAGTAGTTCTAATGAATGTACTGGTCAGTTGTCTTTGACTAGGAAGAGTATGTGCTATGTACATACATACATTTCCCCACTTGAAAAGGTTGTAACTTCAGGGAGGAAGAAGGAATGACTAGCTTGTGAAATTATACCTTTGTGAATTCATAAAGTTCATAAATTAAAATCCCTAGATGAGCGTTTTCTTTCTTCTATAGACTTGTAATGTGCAGTTTGAATGTTTCAGTTACATCTTTTACTGCTCTTCTCTGTGAAATAGCAATTTTTACTACCATCCTTGAGACAGTATGTACCAGTGTTTTCATCATTCTTGCTGACAAATGACTTTTTTTTGCTATGGAATTTGATTCTTACCTAAAATTCTTTTGCCTTGTTTATGGCAAAAATATAAGTAATATCTGTAACTGCTTCTTTCCCATCTTGGTCATGCTCTAGAAGTATCTTGCATTTACCTATTTTTTATATATGTTATATTTATATAACATATAAACATATAAACATACATATATATTTATAGATATATTGGGTTCCTGTGCATCTTTTCTTCTTCAAGCTTGAAGACTTCAGGGGATTTCAGGGCAGAGCTGCCCAGATTTAATTTTTAAAAAGTATTTTACTTTTATAAACTGGTGATAAATAAATCTGTGAAGAGATGTAATTTACAAGACAAACAGTGCACAGGTAAACTTTTACTTATGTATGTGAACTTAAGGTCATCTAAGAGTGAGATGGCTCTTAACTTGCCATACTAGTTTTCAGTGGTTCTAATTCAATTCCACAGCTTGCTTGTGATGGTACATTTGTTTATTCAATTTAAATGTGAGCAGTTACTCTTAGGAAGCTCTTTAAAACCCGTGTGAATCTTGCTGCTCTCTGTCACTTAATATTTTAACAAGGCAATGAAAAAAGTGGTTCAAAACACTGTCACTACAGATGACCTTGAACTGTGAACAGTAATTGTTCAAGTGTTTGGATTTTCATTTTAAGTTCTGTTTATAAATGCTGAGAATCCAGTCCGTTCATTCAGTTTTATGAATCAAGGCTTTTGAAAGCTTCCTTAAGACCTGTAAACATTGTCTGAATAACCTGTGAAGTTCATGGACAACCTGTGACTCATGTAATATTCTTTGCTATCTATACAACAGCACTGTTTGAGGTGTGCAAATCTTTGTGAGACCTCACTGCAAGCTATCAGCTTTGCCACATGGGCAGTAATTACAAGGTAGCCAGCTACCACCTGTTGGTTGCTTCACATGAGTTCCTCCTAGTTTCTTAGTATGGGGCTTAGCATGGGTGAATTCAAGGAGGCATACCTACTTCTGTTTTTACTGAGAGGAATCTCGGCTGGAGTTAGCTTGCATTTATCTCAGATGTAATAAGAGCGCGCCTAAAGAGCAGACAGGGAAACGTGTGGTAAGGTCTGTACATACCCATGTCCTATAAAGTAAACAAACAAACCTCTTGCTAGCATTCTGCTTACAGTTTCTCTCTTCTGATTAAAATAAAAAGAGTAGATCTTAGCTTTTAAATAAATACTTCCTTGCAACCTGAATAGTTAGAGTTTTATGTAAAAAATGTGTAAGCTTAGTTTATTTATTTTCAGGTTGTTATTACTAGCTTAACGAGTTTCTGTTCAGGTTTGCTTTGTTTGATAAGCACTCATATACAGTTAGCTACACTAATTCACCTTTGCTGATTTGTGACTTGCATAAAGATACCTATTAATATCAAAGTGGACCAGGATAAGCTCTTCACAAAACAACTGGAAATACCCTGTCAGCTGCTATTCAACATTTCTCAAACTTTTCTTCATCGTTTTAAATATCAGACTTTTAAAATAACAAAGATATGTCTGTCAACTGTTGAATGGGTTGAATATAGACTTGTAGTAGAGGAAATCAGTTGCCTGCTGTGTATGTATGATGACTCAGTGCCTCCACAACTGCAAAGCTTTTATAGTATATCCCCAACACTTGCATGTGGCTTGCAGAGAAGTGAGACTGTAGTGGAATTACAAAAAATCTTAGTAGTCTTAAGACAACTAAAGAGAATGACTCTACTGACTTCTCTAGGTTTAAAAAACAAAAAGGAAGGCAAAGAGGTATTGGAGCACTAGATCATGAGGAGGAATAGAAGAGTAGAAGCAGGCTTTGCTGTCTACGTTTTCTTTTGATCAGGTATGCATATAACTGCCTGAAATCTAGCAATTTTGTGGACTAACATAGAAGATATAAAAATGCAGCCCTTCCATTGGATTTTTCCTTGTAGGTTGTTATTGACTGGAGTTGGACTGTTTGAGTTAGAAATGGAAATGGTTGTGCTTTCACCTTTGTCTGCTCTTTAGATATCATGAATCAGTGGCAAGTCTGGAATCTCCTCAGTTGTATAATACCAACTAGCCCAGAGATTTCCCAGTTGTTTCTGCAATTAGGTAGTTCTTTCCTCATTATAAAATATATTTTGTATAAAATCCAACTGAAGTACAGTGACCTTAATTCCGTTTCTGTAGGTCATCTGCATGGTCTATTGAATGATAAAATGGCTTGGAGTGGAAAGGACCTTGATGATCAGTTCCAACCCCATGCTGTGGGCACTGTTGCCACTCATCAGCTCAGGCTGCCCATCCGATCTTGCCTTGAGCACGTTCAGGGATGAGGCATCCCTAGCTTCTCTGGATAGCATGTGCCTGGGCTTCACTGTCCTCTGAGTAAAAATCTTCCTCCTAATACATTATCTAAATCTCCCCTGTTTTTACTTTTAAACCATTTCTCCTTGTCCTTCATGATCTGCCCATGTAAAAAGTCAATATTTAAATTTTGGCTCTTCCCTCGGTAGGGGAAGTTTGTGTTTGCTGATGCCCGTTATGCATGTTTTGTAAGGGAGCATGTTAGAATATAGGAGTGTGTCACTGAGAAGACAGAGATTGCATTTAGGCATTGATTATATGAGCTCATGTCTATGCCAAGTATGAAACGCAAACTTGTAGCACAAACATTCCTCTCACCTTGTTTGTTGAATCCTCCACTCTTCAGTTAGTCATTGGGATGGAAAAAAGGATTGCTTAAGGACTTGTAGATTTTGATGCAGCTGACACTGGGATCAAGGTGACAGATGTGAAGATGCTTGCTGTCAGGATCATGTAGCTGAGATAGAAAACCTGGAAGCATGAGGAAAGAAGGAACAATTAGAATAAGAACAACTGTGAGAGGGGATGCTTTATCCCCCCTGACTGCACTGTTTATGAAATACTGTAATTGTAAGGGAAAACACTGATAAGAGTTAAAAATGTTGCTTTTGGTTTTGTTTTTAAGTCTAGTGGTTTATAATTGTTGCCTTGCTTTTTTCACAGTGGAAAAGTTTGCATGCCTTTCTGAGAACAAATATAACTAGGAAAAGTGCTAGATTGTTTAGGTATTTCCTGAAGCTGTAAGTCTTGACTTTCTCTTAGTGTTCAAATCTGATTTTGTGTTCTAAAGAATTTCTGGAGAATTTGTTATAAGTGTTTTCATGAACAAAAACATTGCAGTTAAAGTGTGTTTTTTTTCTTCCAAAAAGAATAAAGAAACGCCTGTGTCCCATATCTCAAAAGCAGCATGTCCAATTAACCTCAAACTTCCTAAAAATATTCTCCTTTGTCTTGAAACCAAACATGAAACATCCTCCTGTTCCCCACCCTATGTCTCTCTGAGTAAAAGGGATCAAAACTGGGCTCGTAATGGAAACTGCTGTCGCAGCCTCAGCTAAGGAGTCACGACTGTCTGCATCGTAAAGCTGCCTCATACATATTTTATTCAGTATAATAACTGTTCATCTATAAATAGAACAGTGCTATGAGTATAATGCTTGGGAATATTGTTTTCCACTTGTAATTGTTAAATGCTTTTTTTGGGGTTACTCCAAACAGTTGTTCTTTTGACTTGAAGATAAAACAATTCTGGCAGAGCACTAAAGGAGTTTCATGCTTTCCCTCATTAAGATTAGTGCTAATGGCACGCAGGACGTTTCCCCAAAGGACACTTGCATGAGCTCAAACGCTGAGTATAGCACTAATTGAACAACAACAAAAACTGATGACTGTTTTCTACACGTTTCTTAACAGTACAGATTGTCCCAGGGGATGATTAAACAAGCAAACAAAGAGATACTGAAATAATGAAGTCTTTTTTTAATGTGGAGCTCTTCATTTGTTATGTTAGGATGTTCGGCTTTGTTGATATTTTTAAAGCTTTACTATTTGTAATATAGAATTCCTGCTCTTTGCCCCACTTTGCAGTGTATACCTTATATATCCTGTGAGGAAATGTGTACTGTTTCTTTAAAATTCTTGAAAGATGCTGTGCAAGAAAAGGGCTGAGAAAGAGTTTATGAATGTATGAAGTAAAGGGAAGAAACTTTTCAGGATTTTATATATGTAGTATTGTATTATTTATGAAAAACTCCAAAATATTACTGTAAAATACCAGCAAAGGACAGGAAAAAGCTGTATAAATTTTAAAGGCAGAGTATGCTCCAAACATTTTGGGATTTATGTAAGTATTGCAAGTATGACCTGCATGTGCACTGCATAAATGCAAAACTTGTATGTTGCACAGGGGAGCTATGAGTCTGTGGTAGGTTGGCATTGGGTGGGAATGAATGGAGCACCTTTCTAACATGGCTTATTAAGTGAAATCTCTAACTGATGGAAGCAAGCCTTGCCCAGTTTTTGTCCCTTAACAGTATGGGATGGGAACGTGCGTGAGAATTGAAAGGCTGTTAAAGTGGTAAACCATTTCCTATAGGAAACCTTGACTGAGCAATCTATTAAGAGTGATCACTTAAGCTACTTGTAGGTGTTTTTACAATGAGGTCAAGATTTTGCTAGGGACAAGTATAGGTGTGGCATTATCTTCGCAGCTGATAGCTGCGCGTAGCTCCTCGTATGGAATGAGGAACCCATATTTCTTTTGGGGCTTCTTCGCTAATACAGTGTAGAGTGATGATAACAGATGTAACTGGAACGCTGTTGGCTGACCTTTCTGTTTGCTGTGTGTCAGTACTAGCAGTAAGTGAATGGAGTGGGTTGCACAGAGGAGCTCATTAGCTCTTTATCATGTCTGCACTTGCTCTGAATGGGATTAGATGATGAGGCTGTAAAATGTCAGCACCTTGTCAAAACTACTGCCCTGTGACTGCTTCTGCTGATGTTGATCGGGAAATTCTGTGTAAAAGTTCAGCATTGACGCAGTGGATTTATCTTGTGCAGACACTATTTATGTTCCGAGAGAATGTTATAACGTAGCTTATTTCTGTCTCCTACCTTATGCTATCTGAAGTCACTTCAGGATTCTTACCGTGCTGCAATAAATTGTACTGTTGGAGTGGATAAAGCAAACTGTACTACCTTTTCCTATGTATGTATTTGTAAAACAAAGCTAGGGTCAAGAACAATTATGTACCTCTGAAAAAGAACTTTTTTTTGGTCTTTCAATTTAAACTGTAATAAAGTAATGTAAACTGACATACAAAGGAAAAGCTTTTTAATGCTTAAGGAAGGGTATCATGAATTGTAATCATCTCACCCAGGAAAAAACTTTAATACACCTAAAACTTGAAAGGAAAGCTATCCGTGGAGGAAGCAATCAGATTTCTGCAAGATGGTGGGAAAACATAATAACACAGGAACAGGATGTAGCTAAAGAATTAAGTTCATCTCTTTGCTGTTGTGGGTGAGAGGTAAAGCGCCAGAAATGGAATCAAAGTTTCCTGATTATACTGAAAAATTAATGGAATTTGCAGTGTTAGAAGCCAATATTTATCAGATATAATTTTGTTAATTTCTGTTTTCTTACTTTGTGTATTTCTTTGTTCTTGCGCAGCCAAGAGTGCCAACAAATTATAAAACTGATTTTCAATAGGTAAATTGCTTACTGTTATATTTTACTACTCTTGGACTATTTCTAGCTCATGCCTATTTTTTAGGTTCTTCCTAGGAAGGTGAAAAATCAGTATAGTAACTGCGCTGAATTCAGCAAGTAACCTTGGTACATCCCTCAGATCTTCAAGTGGGGACAAAATACAAGGTTTTGAACTTATTTTTCACAATGTCTCCTACAAGAAAACCATTGTCTATTTGTACACTTGTTTCTAAAATTAATAACATAAGAAGCTCACTTAAATTGATCTCTACAATGAGAGAATAACTCTCTGCAATTCTCTGTAGGGTTTTTGTGTCTATTTGAGAAATAATTTAACTGTTATGGGCACTTATGCCTATTAAGTAGGGAGCCTGTGTTTGTTTCTTTAGTTTTGAGGAACACAGACAAACCTCTGGTTTACCTTTCTCCTAGCTGTGGTGTGTATGCAGCTTTAAACAAAGTGCAAACAATGCTAACACTTCAGCATCTGAAATTTATCACTTACACATACAGCTGGAAAGGAACAGAGCTGCAGGATGGTCATGGATGTGTCAAGTAGCAATTGACTAATCAATAAAGCATTCAGGATTTAGTAAGAGAAATTTTCACCAATTTAATTATTTATTTGGTTGTAAACCAGCTTAGATGAATCATTGCTAGATGCAATATATGTTCTGATTTCAGTTGCTGCCTTGAACTGATTAGTGATGAAATGCATACAGTATCTTTCTCTGACGAATATTCCTATATGAGCTTGCACTGATTGTCAAAGTGATTTCAAAACTGAATTGTTAAAATGGAGCAGTTTATCTGGAAATGGACTTGGCTGTGTTTTTTTCTTCCTCAGTTCCCTTTAAAATTCAAAGGCTGTGCATAGCTCTGCATGGCATACGTACATAGACATGGCTCCACATTGAAAGCATTACTCAGTAAATAGAAATAGCAGATTTTTTATTTTTTTTTTTCAAATTCATAAGCTTTTATGGGCATTAGCTCTGGTGCTTTTATTTGTATGTGTTAGTTAGTTGTTGTATAAAATCTGTTCTTTGGGAGTAATTTGATGCCTTTTTCACAGCAGTATCCAGGTGATGAGCATGTCTGAGTATAGCTGGCTTTACAGCTGGCTTTAGAATCTTTCTGTAAGCTGTTAGAAAACTAACCTTTGGCTTCATACTTACAGCCAACTAAGCAGCTGTTGGATTGTTTCATAGCCTCAGTTTTAATTACTTTAGTTTTTACCATTTCTGGATGGAAAGAACTGTGAATCTAGGAATTGTTGCTGCATCTGTAGACAAATTGAAATGAGTGAGGTGTGAGTCGTCAGTTTCATCTTAATAGGATGGTAATGATGTGGTATGATTATTTTCTAATTATCATTTGTTTATGAATACATTTAAATTTATTGCTTGCACTTGTTTCAGTTGATATACTTGGTCCATTTAGTTATTTTACCAGTTCTCATTGATCAGCAGGCTTGTAGAAGTGGGTTCTTCTCATTCTACCATCTTCCTTGTGTTCTGCAGAGTTCACTGACAGAAGCTTTCCAATTATCTTTGGTTTTTTCTCAGTTTGGGTTTTCCACAACAATGTGACTGTTTAAAAAATTTCTTCTTATTTTTAAGAGAGGGTAACTTAGTAGCCTAAGTGTGATAAGGTAGGGCTGTCACTATGTTGTTTTGTTTTGATGATGGGTAGTTTCATGTGACTTGCCCTAAAAAAAAATGTTTTGCACCTGTGATGCTTTAAGAAAACTGCAGTAACTGTGCATGTTTTCAGACAGCCCTTTTGGTGACTGCTGTTGGTTTGTGATTCCTGCTTCATGTTTTAGGGGAGGAGCTGGGGAAGGTGCTGTCTGTGTGAGCAAAAAGATGCAGGGAGGAAAGCAAGAGGATGAAGGAAGAGAAGAAAACTTGAGAAGAAATAGGGATGAACGTCATTAACGTCATTCAGGAAAATGACAGATAGTGTTGGTGTTGCTAACTTCAAGACCTGAGAGGTGTGGAACCCATTTTAACCCATTTTTAAGTGTTGAACAGATACTTCAGTGAGAAAATCCAGTGAATTAAATGTTAAGAGACATTTTCCCCCTCTTTGATCTGCCATTTCAGTACATGCGCGCATATACATCTTAGGTAGAATTAGATTGTATTTACCTTAATCTGACTCCTTCAATTAAGGGACTGTTTACCCATTTTTGAAATAGAATCAACTTTTCCTTCCTCTTACACAGTCATTTGACTCTTGGAGAGTGTGCTCCAATGAGTTGACTGTTTGAAGAGACTCGATTCCTTGCTAGTACAATATTAGTTTTGTTTGCTGTTTTTTTTCATTGTTTTAGAGAAATTGCTTAACTCTTATTTCTCAGAGCCTGTACATACAGATGAGTATTATCAGATGATTCAATTGGAAAAAAATTGCACATACTTTTAGGCATGAAATTTCCTCCTCAATAGACGTGTACTGAGAAGATACCTCTGTGTAGCTTTCCAGTTTGTATGCAGAAAATATATTTTAAAAATATAGAAGGAAGGTATTATATGTGTGATGGTAGCCTATCACTAGAACAAGCTATTTATATAGAGTAAATATAATATCAAAATATTTAACTTTTCTGTAGTTTCACCTTTCTAATTTTAAGAAATGCTAGTGGAAGTAATGCCATCTTTTTATTTGCAGTTTCCTATCTGTGTTCTTGGGGAAAAAAAGTGCATAAAAACAGTTTTACAAACTATTACTGGCAGTTCAATCTGTAAATAATCCAGTTTTGGAATAAATCCAAAATAAAAGCATGAGGGGAAAGGTACTGTTGGATAGTGCAGTGAAATGGGATGGAGCTTTTCACCTTGGGGATTATTTGTTGAACGTAGCGGATGTCCTTCCATTAAGCTAAAACATAACATATTCAAACATCCTTCTACCTGCATATAAAAACACCTTCTTTCAAGGTCTTGGGTCGCTAAAAGGTTATGTTGCAGCTACTTTTGGAAAGACTTAAAATATGAATATTTTTGCAAAGGAGTTGCTACCAGTCTATTTGTGATGCTAACAGTGTCACATAAGGTTTTGTAAACTTACTTGTAAATACTGTGAGGTAGATTCCCAGACTGTGCAAGGTGAAATGACAAACCAGAACGTGTGTACAATATTCACATAGTGGTGTTGAAGAGAAGGGGGGAAAACAGTGGAATAAGTCAGCTTGGATTGGAAAGGAGGAGGTAAAAATGTGCATGTATTTGCGTGTATGTGTGTGTATATATATATATGAAAATATAAAAGAAAATAAATACATATAAATATAGAAATGAAAGGAGGAACCAAACACCCTGGAAAAGGACAAAATGTGTGTGGAGGAATTAAAGTGGAATGAGTTGAAGTTGGGAGTTAAGAATGATTGAGGTGACTGTATATTGAAAGGTTTGAGAACTGATTTGATCACTTTGAGAACTTGGTTAAGAGCCATGTTGATTCTTCATATCTGATAGTCTTCTCCATAGATAGGAGATTCTCACAGATGTTGTCATATTAAGTGATAATATAGAAACTTACAGCTTATCCATAGAAAAAGCCAAAAATGTCATAGTGAATTACTGGTTGTGTTATATCATCAGAGTAAGTCAGGAGAAGAGGCGATGAAATAAATCTTTCTCTCTGCAACTTCTGAAGTTACTAATTTTGGAAGATTCTGAGTAGCTTTTCTCTATTATTCCTCTGTGACTGCTTCACCCAAACTCAGTTGATTAAGCTATTGCATTTAATTGGCCTTGTAGTTCCCTGTGTACAAGAAATGAGTGTGGCTCTGGTTGCTGGATCTTATTCTACTTTTCAAGCTACTGCTGTGTAGGAGCATAAAGGGTGCAAACTGAAATGCCTTTCTGAATTGCCTTCCCTCACTTTGCAAATTCGTATTTCAAAGGAAGAAATGCAGGTCATTCATTAAGCTTTTTTGATTGTAACATGAAAAGCGTTTTCCCTTAAGGTCTCCTGTAGTTTTCTGGGGATCATTCCGCTTTCCTCTGTTACTCAAGCCTGTGTTTCATTGTTATTGATGTAGACGTTCTCCTTGATCCAAACGAAGCCTAATTTTTCTGCAACCTGGATATCTGTGTAGGCTGAGATTCTGACCCTAGAGTGGTCAGTTGGTTTCTAAGATTATTCCAATGGAAACAGGATTCTGCTGCTAGTTACTTTGGTTATCTCCATTTTTTTTCACTTGACATATTGGCAAAGCTGTTGTCTATTCATGGCCCTTTTCAGCGTGTTACAGCAATGTCACCTCTGTGCTTCTCTCAAAGTAAAACCATCCCCTTAGAATTGTTCAGTTCTTCTGCTTAGATCTATCATGTTACAGTATGTTCCTTTAACTTCCTCTTTTGGCTCTCTCTCTGCCCCTTGGTCAGATACACATGTATTGTTATTGTCTTTAAAACTTTTTAGCTTAATCCTGCCATGGCTGTTTGCTCCAGATTCATTTCTGCTTTTTATTTTTCCACCATCAGTGCCAATTTCAGATTTGTGCTGAGGAGCTTTTCCCACATGCTTCTCCCAGATTTGTCCTCTACATATAAGGAAGAATTAACAGAACCTACGAATCACCGTCTCAACATTCAAGCTGTATTTTTGATCTCATTTTTGCTAGTAATGCATACAGAAAATTGCCATCTGCTGAGTTGATAGTGAGAGGTAATTGTGACAGGTGGCTGCAGATGGCATATAAATCTGGTACAAGCTGTATTTGTTATCCTATCTTTTATTTCCTTGCTGGCACACCTTTTGTTCTTCCTGCATGCCTTATTTTCAGAGTGTAAGTTCTTGACGATAGGGCTGTTCTTCATTGTATTCATCTTGCCAAACATTACAGTCTTGTCTGGCTTATTGTAGTTATTGTTATTAGTTTTTGGTCTGGATTTATTTGTAAGAAAATGTGCTTTGTCCTGAACATGAATTTTACCTAGCCTGTGTCTTTTAAGGAGCCTGTTCACTAATTCCTACAAAACAAAGAAATGGGAAATGAAGTTTTAAACAGACATTTTCTGTTGCTAATGACAGATTTAAAGGAAACATTACCTGTATTTTGTGGACTATCTGCCTTGTTTTTGATTTATCTACAGTCTTTTTTTTGCATTGTGCCCCATGCCTGTGATCTTGTGTAATAATCTACGCTCTCCATCATATAAATGCAGTCCTTTAGAAGCTTCCTTATGGGGAGCAACTTCTCAATGTGTTTCTGGAAGTGAGTAGCATGATATTTTCTACTGGTATACTGAAGGATCTGAATGAAAAATGCTCTTGGAGTAAAAACTCGAAACTGTTGATCTGCTGTGCTTTTGGTCTCGTATGTCAGAAGTGTGCTATGTTAAATAACTTTTCAGTGTTATTTCTGGATTATGGTTTTCACTTGCTGCTGGTAATCTTAAAATGGTTTCACATACAAATTTAAAAACAAAAAAAAAAGCAAGCA